GAAGGAAGGAAGTGTAGGAGAAGGAAGGTAGGGAACAACTATAAGGCTGAGAAGGAAAAAAAAAGAATAAGAGAAGGAAGGAAAGAAAGAAATAAGGGAGGGTGGAGAAAAAAAATAAAAGAGCACGAGGAAGGACACAATAGTAAGCAGTAGGATTAAAGCTATAAACATACTTTTAGAGTAAAAGTACTGAGAATAAACGATTTCATAGATGAGGCATAAATCAGATGAACAGAAACAGAGGAAGAAAGTCTTTTTTTCTCTTATTTAAAACCTGTTCCTCTCCTACTGAGGAAAAAAAAGACTCCAGTTAACAAAACTCTCCCCAACAATAAATTGGACTGTTTTCATGCATATGTGGTTGTGTGTTTCCCAGAACAAATAATGCCCTCTCCCTGCATTACTGCAATGTTTCATGGACCATTACCCATCTGTCCCTGAGGAGAAGCACTGGGTAGGCATAAGGAGAACAAAAACGACATTTAGTTTGCTCAGCATCACTGCCTGCAGGCTGTCGAGGTAGAAGACGCCCACTTTGATTCACTAATGATTCATGTTCTGGATCCACTTATCAAATCTTCTCTCAGATTATCTGTTTAAGGTTTTTATTTGGTTTAAAAACGCTTGATTCTTAGTGGATGGCAGGAATTTTATTATCATTATTCGCTGTGAGTATACCTCAGTCTTTAGAAGGTTAAAGGCTTAGTCTGATGATTAATCTCAGTTTCAGAAACTTCATTTTGTTCCCCAACGTATAAAAGTTCATAACGTAGGTATGTATTAATGATGTCAGGCTTTAAATCAATGAGTGTCTGCAATCAAAACCTTAAAATAACGGTTACGTAAACATAAAGCTGGCTGTTTAAGCTTCATCCACTCTGATTCATTTATTTTTTATTCTTTTCGTGTACTTATTTTTTTTGTTAAATGAGCAAAAACATCATTATTTTAGATAAAACGAGCATACAAATAGTGACGTGAAAAACTAAAGGTATTTTTCTCGATGAACATGCTGTATCATCACACCGTGTTGTTCTCCAGTCTCACATTTACAGGTCAGCCATTGCTGAGGTGCCGATATATCAAAGTGAAAAGCTGCCCATTCCTGCCCAAAGAGAGCAAAATGGCGGAGAGCGCGTCCAGTGGGTTGAAACCTTCACCTGAGGAAGACCATTTCACCAAAATAAAGTTTGCTAACAGCATTACAAAAGCGTAAGTTACTTTTTTTTTTTTTTACTAGACATCTTACTAGACAAGACATTTGTCTTTTTACTAGACAAATACCTCTAAATATCGAGAGGCATTTATATAATTTTTAATATTGGTTTAAATAGGAGTTGGTTCTGTCACACATCTTGTTTTGGTCTATATAGAGTCCTCAACAGCCCGTTACACATATAAATATGATTAATCTTTTCTATGACTAATGTAATATTGATGGTGATTGTTGCAGCTAAGGCTAACAAAACCAATTATTTTGTTGTTGTTGGGGGGGTTCATGTTGGTCCCCCTTTAAAAAGATAAAATCCTCGTTAAAAAGCTGATCTTTGTTAATATTCACCTCGTACAAAAATTATATTTCTCACAGCACTGGATTTTAGTCCAGCCTCTTTAGAAGCAACGTTAGGATAACTATTAAGAGCTGAAACACAAAGTACAGATCATTTATTTGGGACTGTAAAAGGAGCATAAGGAGCCTTTATACGTGAGGGACTCTACCACCCCCCCTCTAACAAAAAGGATCATCCCCCTAAAGCCCCCCTCTTTCAATCCAACACACACCTCCCCAGATAGACTGGTCTAAATGTGGAGGCCCGGTTCTGCTCAAGGACACAAAGAGGAGACACAGTTCCAATCTGGTATTTAGAGAAAATGCAAACAACAGCTGCACCCTTCTAGAGATATGGTATACCATCGCACATTTAAACAGACAACTAGAGTTTGTATTTCAAGTAACATATGTTTACAAAAGACAGAAACTTGAGATAAAGGTTCTTTCACTAACAAAAATGGAAATAGCAAATTAACTCAACGACAAATAAATAAACTGCTAATAGCTTAATTAAGAAAAACACGTCGATCACGGTGTTAGAATAAAAAAAGAATAAGTTAAAACAGCTAGAAAGCTGAGGTAGGATTTTTTACTTCATCAACCAGGAGCATCATTAACACAGTGATGGTAAAACAGCTATCAGTCTTTAACTAAAATGCTTTCTGTACTTAGCACTGCTTTATTTCTTTATTAACATGAGAGATAAAATAAGAGAGTTACTTTTGTCGTCTTGTTTAGAAAATAAATCTAGTATTGAAAACATGACTATGGACGACATAAAAGTTAAACATGTCAGTAGGGAGCGACAGGCCCACAAAGTGATTTTTTTTAGAATGATGTACTTAAAAGCTAAATTAGTAATTAGCTTACACTAAAATGTTAATATCAACCTAAAAGGAGAGCTTTTTATTTGTTTATAAAACCATGTCTTCAGGAGCTATGAGGGAGGGCTGAGCTTTAACACTTTCTATCACTCTACATATTTTTATACATTCACTGTTTCAACTCTTTCTTTATCCTTCAAACTTTCATCCGTCTCTTTTCCTCTTGGGACCTTTGGCAACCAAGTTGCTTTTGGACTTTAATCATTTACATCTATCGTACAGCAATACTCCAGCGTTACCATGGATTTACAAAACCTTAAATGAAATCTTGGATCCAGTTTAAAGTTTAAGAAAGCAGCAGGTAGAGTAGGTCTTACTTGTATGTCTTGGAGGAGCTCCTGTTTCCTGCGGCGGATGCTCTCCAGCTCCTGTCGCTCCTCTGGACTCAGGTCATCAGGCACTGAGGGCAGAAACGCACACAGCTTTAGGGCTCAATGATCAAATATTCCCTCATCCCACACACAATAAAATTACAACATACACACACCGATACAACCTAGAGAGTCCTACAGTTCAGGCTCACTATGGCAACACAATCCCAGCTCCATCAGATTACACCGCCCTCTACCTCACACACAACCAAGGGAATTGAGCTCATTTTAATACATAAGGACTGTTATGTGTTTAGATTAGAACTATCTTATAAAGTTGGATTTAATCAGTACTGAGAATAAAACAGTACTTAGAAGGAGTGGCCTGTTAGCTTCCCTCTGAGCTGTTTGATATGAGGGGTAGAAAGTCTACAGGTTCACTAATGTGGTAGAAAACAAATATTAGTCTGGGACAATAAAAGCGGTCAAATGTTTTTATTAGAGCTGATGGAGCCACCAAACCTGCAGGACATTATTCATAATCATTAGACTTTCCACAAGATGGTGTCAAATAAAACAAACCAGATGGACTAAACCTAAAGCTTGAAGAATAGTTTATCACTGACATACTGTTACTTAACTCCCAAAGCATGTTTTTGTAAATCTAACCTTTCTCAGAAAGCAGCTAAAACGGATTTTATATTTCTATGTAAAACAATACATTTACAGAGCAGGAGATTTTTATTTTTTTGTGCAGTAACATGAAATAAAACAGGACTGATTTGTTACGACTGGGTCCCACCTCTGACTCTGGAAGCTCCAGTGTGTTTTTTGTGTTATTTTTTCTTTCTTCCAGAGGCTCTCAACACATAACTGGTGGTCAGATCTCCTAATTTAGGCCTGACTAGGTCCCATTTTTCACTTCTACTGTATTGTATCTGCTCTATGTTATGTATCTTTAGGAAAGCTCTGACAAAAATGGCACAGATTGAACATAGCAAGTGATTTTCATTTTTTTTTTTAAAGTTCACCGTTTCCCTTTAGCTGGAAAACGCATCCATGACTTTACATGATCAACTGTTTACTCTGAAAAAGCAGTGGCTCATGAGCCAGAGAAATAAAGTATCTGCAGAGTGACGATAACTAGGCAGACAGATATGTCGCAGACAGTCTTGTGGTTTTTCTCAAGAAAATTTACGTAATAAGAAGAGGAAGAAGAAGGCTGTTAACAGGTGGTAAAATAAGATTGTGGTGTAAGCTGACATTTGTATTTTTCTACACAGACACACAGAGGTTAAAGGGTTGCACCATCGACGCTCTAAATTGCTTTGTATAACATATACTAGCTATAAGTCATGAAATAAAAGCAGAGAATTTTCCCAGTTTTTGGCAGCATAACAAATATTCACAGAGGACAGATCAAGCTGTGCTGCTGCTGTTTTTCTGCCTTATTAGAGGAATCCTGCTGAGGGATTAAAATCAGTTCACATTGTTCAATTCACTTCGCCTACATGACAGCATTGCTCAGCGCTCTGCAGAAACGGGGGCTTTATCAAGCCTTAAATGCACAAATCAGGGTCAATTTAGTGCATCAGCTCCAATCCATATGAACCAATGAGATAAGTTACATTTCTTGGTCAATTAAACAGAATAAAATATAAAACAAAAACAATAATAATGCATTTGCTGCAACTTGGCAGCCATAGAAAATGAATTTGTTTTGTTGTATTTGTGGTAACTAGGATATTTTTGACATTGAGCATTAATAAAGGCTCGCAGATACACGATTAATAAAGGATAGCAATCAACACGTAGCTATCAAAGTCTCATTGTAATATCTACACAATAAACAGTTTATTTTGCTATGAATAGAATGGTTTCCCCAAATAAGGAAAACTAAGGTTCGAGTTTTCTCGGGCTGTAAGGAGAATATGAACCTCAGTGCCTCCACTACAGGTTGTCGTTCAATGGTGCTCAATTGGATTCAAGAAAACTCTAGATGTTTGGTCTTATCAACAATCGGAGCATTGTTTTTTTTGTTTTTTCTTTACTATAAGATTTTCTCTCCTCAATATGTTCAAATGATTTGGAATCCCTTTTTTACTTATTCTAGTGTTATCTTGACTCTTATTGTTTGTCTTTAGCTGCTAACTTATAGCTGTGGTCCCAGAAAACAGATGCTAATCTCAAAGGGCTTCCTGGTTAAAACAATTATCATTAAAACTAAAACCAAATAAAGTTTTGAGCTGCACATAAATGGTGTTATCATTGTTGCACTGAGCCACATTAAATCAGCACAAGATGATTTAAAAAAAGGGGGAAATTTATGTAAAGTGGAAACCCTGAAGATATTTGCTTGTCAATGCGGATATAGTCTGAGAAAATGACTTCTAAGGTCATCAGTTGACTAAAATGTCCAACACAAGCAGCTAGTTCAGTCATACTTTCCTGCTTTTGATCATCTGCTATGTTCAACTTTTTCCAGTTCAAACAAACCCGATCAACATGTTACAAACATAAAGAAGTTTTAGAAAACATTTTTAAACCATATGGCATAGATGTTTTTAATTAACCCTTAAGCAAATGTATGGTATAGAAAATGCTCCAGTCTGCACTTCATGATCTGTAAATGCACCTGGTCTTTCCACCACTGCAGACATCATCTAGTGCGCAGAAAAATAATAACTAGAGAGGGATTAATCACAAAACATTTCATCACTCAGAGAAAGGTTTAAGTAGGCTGGAGAGGTTTTCAATGTTGACCTGAGAACCAGAAGAAAAAAACACAGAGAGGTAGTGAAACTGGCATTTACTCACTTCCTCAGCCGTTATATTGTGAGAGGAAATAAGTGAGATTGTTTTTGACAACTTAAAAACCACAATCCTCTTCTTTTTCTATAAGTACAGACAAGAGTAACCAGTATTTCAAACTCTTTAGCCAGATAATTCATAAAGTATAAAACAAGTATTCTGTAACTTTCTGGACTTTATTTGGGTTTTTTTTGCACTGATAATAAACTGCTCTGGAAATTTATTTCCTCTATCCTCCTATCCTCCCTTGGTTAGTAAGTTACGCATCACATCCGTTAAAATATGCAGCATAACCAATCTGCAGGTACTGTATGTTAAGCTGAGGTTTCCGACTTTCACAAAAGTTCAAAGGAGGACGTGACAACCCATGCATGCACACAGAGACTCATCCTGGTTCGAGTTCTTGCAAAAACCTCTCATACATAAGTTAGGATGACGCACTGAACACCTACGCGTTTGTGTCATAATCTTGATCGGTCGTACCAGAAACGGCTCGGTTTTTCCCCTCCTGCTCTCAGAGGTCCAGGAACAACCAATGCAGCCCAAAGTTTAAAAACAAAACAAAACAAAAAAACCCTCAGGATGATACTGAGTCACCAGCTCAGACATAAAACAGTTACTTTCTCAGGGCAGAACCAGTCCTGTGGTCCTTGAGTCCAGCCACTGCCACTCTAATCTCCTTATTACAGCAGAGGGCAGAGGAAAGAAGAGTCTGCCTGCAGCTAAAATGAGGGCAAACGTTTTTTTAAGAGTCTTTGTGAGGGAGAAAAACCCTTGAACTGTCATCTCTCTCCCTCCTCCTTCTGTCCATCTCGTCTCCTCCCTGCACCCTCCCTTCCTTTACCCATCCGTTAAGGAGCAGATCAACTGCAGGTCCTCTCCCTCAGTTTTGACATAAGAGAAAAGGAGCCTTTGTATTGCTCTTTAAAACAACTTATGGTAAATAAACAAGCAAGGTACAGACACTAGATCCATTTGTTTTAGCCAATCACATGTGTTTGCTTGCATAAAAGAGCATGACCCAAGCCCACAGGCCAGGCCAGTTTGTCTGTGACAAGAAAAACAAAACGAAAACTTCTCTGTCAGGAGCTGTTCACAAGGCAATTATTGTCCATTAGGGATTTTTTTAACAAGAGAATAATTGTACATTTTAGACTTCCCTAGCCTGGGGATAACTGGCTCAAACGATTGCTGTAATCCTCCCCAGAATTACTGATCGCATTCATGCAGCCTTGAGGCCTAAGTTCAGTAAATAAGAACCAGGGGGAAAAAAAAGGAAGCATAGAAGAGGGGAGAACAAATATGAACCTAAACATAGGAAATAATAACATCCTATCATCAGCAAGAGAGAAAGTGGGGAAGTTTAAAGTGCAAGGGTGTGTTCTCAGGGTGAAACACTAAAAGTGAACCAATCAGCTGGCCAGAGTCCTCCAGAGAACCATCATCCTATTTTTATTTGCATCCCCTTTTTAAACACACCTGAATCAAATGAGTGGCTGGTTACTGAGACCTGCTGAGGAAATTCAGTGGTTAGATCCAGGTGCGTTAGAGAAGAGAAACATCTAAAGTTTACAGGACTGTAGATACAGAAGACGGAGCAACAGCAAATGCAAAATCTATCTTAATTTTTATTTAATTTTTCTGTTGGATTCACAGCTAATAACTATCAAACCTCGAGCACATTTTGTTGCTATTCTTAGGAGGAAAAAAAAAGTTATCTAAATATCGTAAAATCAACATCTCAGACATTTATCCAGAAATAAAAAAAAACCTCAATAACAGCGAAGTATCCTGCCAATAATCTATGGTAGTGAAGCAGCTGAGTTAATATAAAAAAAGGTATTTTCAGGATAGTTGATAGCTGCTAACCCTTAAAAGCAAGCAGTATTTTGTATGACATGTCTGAAGTTTATTTAAGCAGCTCATGTGATAAATAGCAAAACTCCATCCAACTGTCAGAAGTTTTTAATTCTTTATAGGGCACTCAGTGAAATCCTTTGAAATCCACATTTCAAGCCAATAGTTTTATTGGAATCCAGGACAAGACCTTATTACCTTTGTAACATTTTTATGGCAAAAATGAATGTCAATGTAATAACAAGAAATGCCAACTTGCCCGAATATAGAAAGAAAAATAACAAAAATAAGTGCTTTTTTAAGAAATTATACACTCAAGAGTGAAAAAAGCTAATTTTTTTTTGGTACAACATAACCTTAGAGGCATTATTGCTGATACTGGCACTTACATTTTTTTAGTTTATTTTCCTAAATACAATTG